GTCGATTTCTGCAGGTGGTAGATGTGGATTGAGGTAACCCTTCACCCTCGGAAATTCGAAGACAAGTTCTGTATGGTTAAAACGGCTTGCCATACACACACACGCACTGAATGAGTCCAGCTGACAGTGAGTCTTAAGAATGTCGAACAGAAGGCCAGAAAAACAGCTTTCGAAACCGCAGCTCAACCAGCGACAAATATGTCCAAATTGTGTGTGTGTGTGTGTTTGATTGGCTCACTGCCTAATTCATCTTGTTTTGTGGCCTCTGCACCTGTTGGTCTTTCTCTAATTGAAAAGGGTGGTCTGTACCCGCGGGACCACTATGAGGAATGCAATGTCACAACACTTAACACACACACACACACACACACACACAAACGCGGCGAGTGTTTGAGAAGATGCAGTTCATTTGTGTAAGGCAACGGCTGAACAAAAGCGTTTCATTTCTCCACGCCGCACGACCTTTCGCTCATTCATTATCAAACCAAAGAAACAATGCAAATAAAAAGCACTCCATTTGTTTTGTTGGCATGCCAGACGTGAACGCGGTCTAATTTGACCCAGCAGGACTGTTAGAAAGCCAGTTAAGAGGCATTGCTGGAATCTCCAGAATCTCCCTCCATTGCTGACGGGTGAAGTCAGAGCTTTGGAGAGACGACTGCCATCCAGACACACTGTGGTACACACTCGGTCTGTGTGGTACAATGATTCATCCAGAAGTACTTTAAAATGCGGTTTGTACATGACCTGAAGATTTAAAAAGTGTTAAAAGCATCAAGGGGCGGTGCAGTGGGTAGCGCTGTCGCCTCAGAGCAAGAAGGTCGCTGGTTCAAGTCTCAGCTGGGCCAGTTGGTGTTTCTGTGGGGAGTTTGTTTGTTCTCCCAGTGTTCGTGTGGGTTTCCTCCGGGTCCTCCGGTTTCCCCCACAGTCCAAAGACATGCGCTATATGGGAACTGGGTGAGCTAAATTGGCCCTAGTGTATGTGTGTGTATGGGTGTTTCCCAGAGATGGGTTGCAGCTGGAAGGGCATCTGTTGCCCTTAACATATATGCTGGATAAGTTAGCGGTTCATTCTGCTGTGGCAACTCCTGATTAGTAATGATTAATAACGTAATCACGTTTGCTGTGCCAGTTCGTCATTTTTCCAGGATCTTGTGTTGTCGTGACCAGTCCTGTTCTGCGGTGCATTTCCGAAAACATTTGTTAGCCAACTAAGGTCACAAGTTGTCATTACAAGCATAGTTCTGTGATTTGCTGTTTCCCAAATCCATCGTTCCAATGAACATTCGCAAACTGCGTCGCAAACTTGCTATGCTTGCAACTACAACTCTGGAGCTGTGAGAAACATAGTTCTTGGCTGTGTTTTATTCCCATTTACCCCCCCTCTGCCCTATTAGTTTAGAATCTTCTAACATTTAAACTTGGGATGATTAAAAATAAAAGAGCATTAAAGTCGTCTCTCTTTGGTGTAATTCGTTTTCAAAGTATTTTTACAGTTCAGTTTTAGCGATCTTCATGCTTATAATTGCGTTCCCTTTGCAGTGCACTTTGAAAACATTGATGTCATTTTGAAATCAGCCGTGGTTCGTGACGAAAGCTATAGGTGACCTATTATTTAAAAGGGGAATTAACATTACGTCTTCAAAGCTTGTGAAAATAAAAAGCATACGTGATACACCATTGTGTATCCACAGTAGTAATGTTTGTTTTGTCATTAATGTATCTATTTATTTATGTATATACTGTAAAAGTCATTTATTATCACTACTAATGATTGGGTTTGAAACAAAATAACATCAACAGTTGAGAAAGCATGCGCTGTGGGTTACCATGGTCATACTTGTTGTGTTTACTTCAGATGCTACTACGCTGCTCCTGAGGAAAGACACTGAAGTTTTCTTGTGATTTTGTTTCTCCTGATAATTCAGGCACTTTAATCTGCCTACGAGTTCCGCGGCCGGGACCCGTAACACATACATTAATGCTTTTAACTTGTAGTGGGTTATTTATTAAGTATCTGTGCTGTATATGACATGGGCCTGCTGGTTAGAACATTTCTGTAGAGGTTTGCATGTGTCAAATTGTAAAAGTAGACTCTTCAAAAAATGAAAAATAAATAAACGATATCCTACTTAATGATAATAATCATCATCATCGTCATCATCATTATTTATAGTATCATTAAAGTTAGATTTTTTTATTTCCTAATAAATAATAAATATTAAATTTCATTTCTTAAAACAATCGCCTCAATATTTAGTTATTTGTATAATTTATATATGATATTAGAATACGTCTTTTGTAAGTGATTTTGTTTTAGAATAGAATATGGAATATTCTCAATAACATTAGCAATGCAAACACAGGCCCCATATGTGCCATTTACATTTCAGTTAATATGCGAGTGCATGTTTTTACCTAAACTAATTTTGGATTTTATTTAAATGCGTGTGCGTGTAAAACAAAAGTTCTTCTCTAAAGAGGTTGTTACCACCCCATATAGTGCATCTTTATGGGCGTTTTACGTTATAACTAACGTGGTTTAAATGATAGATCTGCGACAGAGAAACTATGGGTTTTGGGAAACACTCGTCACTACATCATTCTTTTCTTAAACGATGCATCATACTATGATAGTTCAGCAGCAAGTTATGTCGTTGTTTGGGAAACGCACCCCATCCCAGTTCTTCCCTGCCAGCCCAGTTTGCTTGTTTAATTGTTTTTTGTTAATGTTTTCCCCCTCGTGGTAGTTATTTTAGTGCTATTTATTTTATTTTACTATTAATAAAAATCCATCACTTTCCCTGCACCTGAGTTCTCGCCCCTTTCCCTTCCTAAAAACCGTGACAATATGGCCATACTCCCAAAGTGCTTCACAAGTAATTTAAATATTTTTTGAGATAAACTGAATGTTTATATTTACATAAATTGATTTACAATAATATTTAAGGTCTGAAAACAGAATATTTTACTGATCATTTTCTACAAATGCATTTTTTTGAAATGATTATATTGTCTGTAGTATTTTTTGCCTTTGCAAACACGCCCAAAAGGCCAGTTGTAATTCTTTCTGATACTCAACAACATTAAACCAATAAAACAACATTTCCTTCCTGAGGCCTTGGTCTTTGATGACACTTTGACATATGAAACAATCAGGAGGAGCGTCTGCTGCTTAGATAAATGAGAAACTCAGAGGAAAAGTAAAATCCTTTACGTTTATGATGGAGTGCTCAGCGAGATCTGCTCAAGGACGAGATCTCAGTGAAGACTTTTCCAAATGTTCATGTGCTTGTCCAGATATTCTCACTGTTAAGAGCTCAGCCTTGTGCAGCCCGGCCCTTATTCACTCTTGAGCAGGATAGGTTTGTACAGGAATAGAATCATGTTGGAGCCCAATTTCATATGGGTTTATATGCAATATAAAGATTCATTCATTTATTTTCCTTCGGCTTAGTCCCTTTATTCATCAGGGGTCACCACAGTGGAATGAACCGCCAACTCATCCAGCTTATGTTGTACGTGGATGCCTTTCCAGCTGCAACCCAGTACTGGGAAACACCCATACAAACACATTAACTTTGGACTATTTAGCTTACCTAATTTGCATGTCATTGGACTGTGGGAGAAACCAGAGCACCCGGAGGAAACTCATGAGAACATGGGGAGAACATGCTAACTCCCCACAACCAACCGACCCCGAACAGTGGTAACAATTATGCCACCTTGCCACCACAAGATAAAAATGCAAAATGATAATGTGTTAGGGGCAGATTTAGTGATTTTGGGGCCCTAAGCAATTCCAGCTTTACAGGGCCCAAGTCCTGAAATGTAGCCTTTCTACTTTTATTTAATTTTAATTTATATTGCTGTTTTTTTTTATACCACTCAGTTTTCTTTCCGACATTTTAATGAATGCAGTCTCTACATCTTCAATGATTATTTTCTTGAAATAAATTTACATCTAATATTAATAAATGTACTTTTTATAAATTTGACTGCTGGACTGCTCCATGATGGATATTTTGTTTTGTAATATCTTTTTTTTTACATTATTATAATAATATTATATTTGATTCTATATTCAATAATATTTAATTTTGTTCAAATTGTATTTCTAATTCTCACCACAAAAATATGGTAGAAAATTTCTGTTTAACGGAGAGACGATTTCTTTCAGCACATTTCTAAACATAATAGTTTTAATAACTCATGTCTAATAACTGATTTCTTTTATCTTTGCCATGTTGACAGTAAATAATATTTGACTAGATATTTTTCAAAACACTTCTATACAGCTTAAAGTGACATTTAAAGGCTTAACTAGGTTAATTAGATTAACTAGTTAGTGTAATTAGTCAAGTCATTGTACAACGATTGTTCTGTAGACTATTGAGAAAAAATATAACTTAAAGGGGCTAATAATTTTGTTCTTAAAATGGTGTTTAAAAAATTAAAAACTGCTTTTATTCTAGCTGAAATAAAACAAATAAAACTTTTTCCATAAGGAAAAATATTATCAGACATACTGTGAAAATGTCCTTGCTCCGTTAAACATCATTTAGGAAATATTTAAAAAAGAAGAAAAAAATTGCAAATCTGACTTCATCTGCAGTTTACAGGTATAATTTATATGAAATTTGAATTAATTTAGATTTCCTGGGGCCCTAAGCGGCCACTTACCTCACCTATTGGTTAAATTTGCCCCTCTGGAATTGCATGGTGACCTTTTTAAAGGTAGATGTGTGTTTTAGACAGGCTTGCTTTGCAGCAGGAGAACCACCAACTACTCTTAAATACAAATAATTTGTAAATAATGCAATACTTAATTTAGTAATGAAAAAAGTATCATTAACAAAGTATAAAAGTACAATCATTATGCAAATTATACAATGTCAAGAATAAAGCATTTGTAGCTGCAGCTGTAAACTGCTTACTAACGTGTATTAATGTAGTTAATGCCTAACAGATAATGAATTCACTAGCTGCTAATGCTTAATAAATAAGTACAGTAGACATTCTAAAATGTTACCCATTATTTTTAGAAATCTTATCTAAAAAATAAAATTACTGCAAACTTAAACTTCTGCTGAATAACAGACATGTCAAATACAACATTAAATTGAATTAAAAAACAACAATATAAGCATTTAACAATATAATATAATGCAACATGTCAATGTTATTCAGTGAGGTTATCAGAGAAATTTTTATAGGTTTCTTGTTATTGAAGTCAATGAATTAGAAAATATTTTAAAATCTTTACAGAAAAATAAGAGGGAGACATTACATTTGCCGTGTGTATTTAAAACTTCCCAATTAAGTAAAATGATCAACTTTAAAGCATTATCGAGTGTATCATAGCCAGTTTTACAATTCAAAAACAAAATTATATTTAAAAAAGACTGGTTTGACAAGAAAATTATTTTTGTTTCAGATTTACTAAATAGCAGTGGTGAGATTTATACTAATCAGGAAATTCTTTCTTCTTCAGGGACTGTTTTTTTGCATAATTATAATGTGATTGTGAAAATCATCTCTAATAAACTGCTTTACTTAAATTCATCTTACATCTTACAACTCAGTCTCAAACAAATTCTAAAAACTGTACTTGGTAATATTAGTATCTTAGATATTTTTTTAATAACTTTTATATTAGAAAATGTCTAATTCAAAATAGTAGTTGTTTCCCGAAAGAAATTTTTAAATGGCAACAAGCTTTTTCTTTACCTTATATGCAATATTTTAAAGTGGATTTCTTTATTTTTATTAGGAAGAAAGTGTTTATGTAAGAGGCAACAGCCAAGCTTTTCTCCAGTGTCAATCATTAATTAATGCAACCCAATGGAAACAATACGATTTCTTTGCAGAAGATTTAGATAAAAATGTTTGTTACATTTGAAACACAACAAGCTGTTAGTAATGACGCGAGCTTCGTGACGTGAATTTTAGAACGCTCGTTCTAGAATGTAAAGCCGCGCAGCTCGGAATTCCATCAGTTGGTGTAATTGTGAATTGCAGATTAAATTTGCTGGTTCACTGTTTTACAATTTGCGATTGTTTTAGCGACTCAACGATGCGGCTAATTAGAAATAGTCGAGTTCATCCATTGGTAGAAGTCCAGGTGCAGGAACCCCACCCCACTGCACCTGCTGAAACTCCTGTTGATGCCGGTGACAGAAAATGGTGGAAAGTTTCCTCCTTCTTCAAACGTCTTAAACGACAAGACAAGAGCAGCTCAAGTCATCAGCAACAACTGAGTAAGTTTGTGAAGCAGGAAAAAGACGAGGGAAAGTCATAACATGACAATATTTGGAATATTATACCATTTTATGCCATTATATAATGCCAGAATGACAATATATCATCACATGCAAATATACTCTTCCAAAGAACACATATTTTATTCTTAAGAATATTTCATTTAATTATAGACCTTTTAAAAATCAGACATGGAAATCAGAATGTGAAAACGCATATCCTAAACATATAAATAATAATAAATGTTAACAAAAGGTTCAAGGTAAAGAGTATCAGAGGCTGTGATATCTGCTAGCAGATCTATTTTCATTTGTCAGACACTTACATGAAAATTACTATATAGTAAATACTATAGTGTTAATTAACCGTACGACACCTCCAATAAAGATAGAGATGTTGCACAATCAGCTAATATGTTGCTAGTATTTTTTTTTTTATGTATGGGCGATATATATTACATTATCAAAAATGATTGATGTCATGCTTATGTGTTGTAAAATACGTCCACACACTGATTATTGTGACAGACTCACCCAACAACACATAAGATACAGGGTAATTCTCTGACACTTATCTCGCCCTCATTTGATGTCCAAACTGAAATGAGTGTTTAAAACAGTCACTATACACTGAAATGGAAAAAGACCGCATGTGTTGTATTACTCTGTTATTATTTGTTTTTAATAAACTCTTCTGTCATCTTTAAATAAGATGCGCGTCCAAGTAATGAGGCTTCAGTTGACGCTGCTGAGGAGAAGAAGGAGAGAAAGTGGTGGAAAAGATTCTTCAGAGATCAGGAGAGCAGCTCAAAGCGAGAGCAGGAGAGTGAAGCTCAACAACCTGAAGAACAAAAGATTGATTCTCCGACTTCTGAAGTGCAGGAGAAACTGACGACAGCAGGATTCAGTGATGGTGAGTGACACGACTGTGGCAGAAGAAAGACATCATTTTTACCCAGATTTCCATTTCAGGTCAATGATTTCTTAAATAATTCAAAAGCAATTAGTTTTATAGGATCATAACTGTAAAAGCGTATAGTTTTAATGCCTTTTCCTCATGTTTTAAGAGGATCGTTCACTCCAAAAAAAGTGTCATCATTCACTCTCTTTGAACTCTCCAAAACAGTTTGTTTTTTGTTCTGCTAAACACAAAGGAAGACGTATTGAAGTATTGTGGAAACTGCTAACTATTGACTTCCATAGTATTTGTTTTTCTTATGGACATCATGGGTTACAAGTTACCAACATTATTAAGAATATCTTCTCTTGTGTTCAAGAGAATAAATAAAAATAACAGAAACTGAACTATCCCTTTAATGTCCCATCAGTAGGGCCAGACGGAATCTGCTGATGTTTTTTGCTATTTCTGCGGAAAATTTTGGTAGAAATCTGCTGATTTTTGCAGAATGACTTTGGGAGTATCATAACCAAAACCTTAATATGGGAAATAAAAAAATAATATCTTTTTTTACTTTTATTTAATGTTTACAATGCAAATCTAAATAGATTCACTTTATTTGGTTAACAAAGCAAGTCTCTCATATAATATATCTACTAAAAGACAGAAAATATTACTTTACAAACAGCATTGTACTTAAATCTGAATAACATTTTCATATTAGTCAATAAAATTACTGTAATTAATTTTAAAACTGAATTAATTTAGATTTACACATATTTACGCAAACCAACATCATATTGACGTCAAATTTATTCATCAGGTATGGCAACCAAACTCCAACATCTGATCATAGTGGTAATGTCCACACAAAGTCAAGCTGTAACATCATTAGAGGTTGATATTTGGTTGATTTTAGGTTGGATGTTAGACACTGATGTCGGCCTGACGTTGGGTTCTGATGTCAACCTGACTTTAATTTACAATCAAAATGCAACGTCCTCAGGAGGTTGGGGTTTAACGTCAATCTGACGTCATGTTGATGTCCTGTGCTTGCTGGGAAGTCACTGGACAGCAGTTTTGTTGCCAATCGCAAAAAAATTATTAAGGGGTCTAATAATATTGACCTTAAAAACGCTGCAAAACTGCATTTATTTCTACCAAAATAATGAAATAAGAGTTTCTCCAGAATATAAAACACTGTCAAAATGCCTTTACTACGTATATTTAAAAAAGAATAGAGTTCACAGGATGGCCAATAATTTTGCCTTCAACTCCGTATAATGTACAGCATATAGATAAAGATACAGGTTAACTTACTTCTTACCCTTGCTGTATATATTTAGATTAGTAAATAACATCTCTATAGTCAAAACTGAATTGAGCGATTAAAATAATGTCACTGAAACTAAAGTGATTATATTAGAAATGAAATATTTTGCATTGACTGAATTTTTGTCTTTAATAGATTCCTCTGTCGCCTCAATTGAAGATCTCCAGCTCAGCATATCTCTGGATCTCAGCATTTACACAGAGGAACAAGAGACTCGTTCAAGTGATGAGGCTCCTGTCAGTGCTGCTGAGGAGGAGAAGATGGAGAAAGCGGAGAAGCAGAAAAAGATGGAGAAAGTGGAGGAGAAGAAGGTTGAGAATGTGGAGAAGAGAAAGAAATGGTGGAGAAAGAGTAAAGCTCCTAAAGCTGAAGAACAGAAGGGAGCTGCTGAACAGCAGAAGTGTGAACACCACTCCATGCGGATACCAAGATCCAGTGATGGTAAATGACCTCATCATGTTACATTCTTTAGTTTAATATAGTTCCTTAAAGCTCTGTATATGAGAAAGATGTCTGATTTGCACCCTGGAAAAAGAGATTCAGCTAATATAAGTAGTTTGCAACCAGTTACCTTGAAAAAAATTGAGTAAATCCAATGAATCTTTTTTCTCAATGTACCCAGACTTCTTTTAAAGGGATAGTTCACCCAAAAATGATCATTTACTCACCCTCAAGTAGTTCCGTACTTTTAGGAGTTTATACCTTCAAAAGAAGATATTTTAAAAAATGTTAGAAACATGTAACCATTGATGTCTATAATAGGAAATTCAAACACTATGGAAGTCAGTGGTTACAGGTTTCTAACATTTTTTGAAATATCTTCTTTTGCGTTCAACTGAAGGAAAGAAACTCAAACAGGTATGTGACAAGTGAAGGGTGAGTAAATGATGACAAAATAGTCAGTTTTTTGGGTGAACTATTCCTTTAACAGGGTTCATATGGTCATGGAAAACCTGGAAAAGTCATTGAATTTTGACACAGCTTTTTCCAGGCCTGGAAAAGTTTTAGAAAAACCCCAAAAGTCATGGAAATTAGTTTAACAAATATTTGTAAACTTCAATATAGGTTAGTTGTCTTTACTTCTTGTCTGTCTTTGGCCAAAAACATGGTCTCACATTATGAATGCTGCGTAAGCATTCATTCATTCATTCATTCATTCATTCATTCATTCATTCATTCATTCATTCATTCAATCATTCATTAATTTTCTTTTGGCTTAGTCTCAATTTCAGATGTGGGATAGGCCTCTAAGAAACTGCCATGTGTAAGTATTATCTAAGTGAATTTTAAATACAGTAGATATAAAAAAAATAAACTAAAATCAAACTAAATAGATTGTTGTGTGTTATATGTGATATGCTATAATGCATTTTAACGTGCATTGTTTTTGATTATTATTTACCATGTATACATAGACATTACATTAAATATTAGGTCATGAAAATTTACTTGAATGTCCTGGAAAAGTCATGGAAAAATCATGGAATTTTAGTTGTAAAAATGTGTATGTACCCTGCTTTAAGGAATCAGAAGGCATTGTAAAGATCGTTTATAATGACTGTAAATGTTATTTAATGACTAATATGGTTTTTGTTAGTGATGTTTGCTCAATAATGAATTTGTATAAAGTAAAAAAAAAACATGAGAACTGTTCAAGGCCATGGCAAAATCTAAGAAATATTTTAAATAGGAGGCAGCACGCATATATCCTGCTGAAAACACACTGTAGGTTTTTTAAATGTATGTTTTAGTGCTGCATATAGTGCATTTTACCCTTACAAACACACAATACAATGCATTTGTGCAAACCTCTAAATATATCAAGATGCACAGAATAATTTTAACATAAAAGTGCATTTGGCCTATATATACTGTACATATTACGTACTGACATAACAGATATCCATCAGAGCCCATCTTCCTCTTTTAAAGAGAAATGTTCAAATATCTAAAACGTCCCAATAACTGCATTTGTTTGATCTGTTTTCAGACTACATCCTCAGCCACTACCAGCTTGGCAGAGAGCTGGGAGTCGGTGGATTTGGTGTGGTGTATCAAGCGAAGCGTTTGGAGGACAATCTCAGTGTAAGTACAACAAAAAAACAATTGAAAAGCTGCTGTTGCTTTGTCTTATCCGGATCCTTTATGTTGTGCTTCACAATCAAGTCTGTTCAGATTTAACACACTGAACAATGTGCCGTCTACACACCAGCTAATGTTTGTGTTCTGTTGATTAGGTGGCAGTGAAATATGTCAACAAGAACGCCGACCACTTGAAAACATATTATGTAAGTATGATGCACTGAATGTTTTCACCTCTGTAAAAAGCGATTAGTTACTTTGAATAAGTGAGTAAATCTGTTGCCTTTAAAGCGACAAATTGATTTAACTTAAATCAGTAAACCCATTGATCTAACTCTATTAATTATGCACATAGTCTGCTTGCTTAATAATTATAGGGTTAGGGTTAAGTCAACTAATCGCTTATTACAGTGTGTTAACATCTCATACAACACAACAATACAAACTTATTTGATAAACAGCTTACATCTTTGTATACTAATAAAACAATGGTCTATCTTTTAGCATCCAGAGGGAAGGAGACTTCCATTGGAGATTGTCCTCACGCTGATGGCGAATGAAGGGGGCAGTAACCCGGAGATCATCCAGCTGCTGGACTGGAAGGACTACAGTGACCATTTCGTCATGATTTTTGAGTATCCCGCTCCCTGTCAGGATCTGGAGGACTACATGAAGGATCGTGGGGATAAAATCAGTGAGGGTTTGGCTAAGATAGTCATGAGGCAGGTGATTCAGGCTATCCTGGTGTGCTGCCAGCGCAAGGTTTTCCATCGCGACCTCAAACCCTCCAACCTCCTCATCAACATCAGGACACTCCAGGTCAAACTCATTGACTTTGGGTGCGGTGACGTTTTGAGGGACTCCTACTACAGGACCTACTGTGGTATGTCAAGTACATCATTATCTGCAGTTTGAAGAAATAGTTCAAGCACTAATGAAAATCTGTTTACTCATCCTCAAGTGGCTCCAAATATTTAACAGTTTCTTTTTTCTATGGTAGATATTTTGAAGAAAGTTTAAAACCTGTAACTATAGGGTATATGCGGCCCTAGTGTTTCTTCCCATACTGATAAACTTCCGGTTAATTTGACTTTTCTTCCATTTTATGCAGTTTTATATGTAATTACAATACATTCAGTTAAACAGACTTTGCATTCATTTAGTTGCTCAAGTGTGAAGCGAGACGAAAAGCCGTTTACTCACACGCGCCCATCAGAATCGGCAGGTTAGCGCAGAAGCTCCATTGAATATACTGAGGTAAAACAAACAATCATATTCTGAAGACTTGGCGGGGAAAAATGAAATTTAATGCAGTGTTTCTTGTACAATCTGAGATCCACTTTATATTGGATATCAATCAGCCAGTGGAGATCGCTGATTTTTAAAGAAAACAGACCTTAAATGCGCAGATTTTGCAATGGCATACAGTACACTGGAAGTGCTTAACCAACGCAATCTCAAGGCAGTTAGTAACTTCTTGATTTAATGGCTAATTCATATAAATTCGTACAATCTAATTTGTACAATTTAGTACGATTTGCTCATCACCCAATGACGGTTGGGGTTAGGTGCCGCGCCTCCTTTTTTAAATTGTACATTTTCGTACGACTGAACTTGTACGAATTCGCCACTAAACCGACAAAAACGTAAAATACTTACGTTTCCTCGTGAAATCAGGCTGTCTGTTTCATGCAGAATGCGCACGTGTGGCCTCATATCGATATGAATGATATTGGATAACCCAGGATCGCGTAGGGGAAATCATTTCGATATATCCCCTGAACTCAATATACCGCCCAGCCATAACAATCATAGCCAATCACAGTCTTGTCTGTTGAGCGCATCAATGCAATGCAATGCAATGCAAAGTAATAAAGACACAATATAAACCAACATCTCCTGTGACTCAGTGACCAATGCTTACTTTTTTCTCGGTTTCCTGCGGATGAAGCCGATTCTTGCCCGACTGAACTCGTACGAATTAGCCACTAAACTGACAAAACGTAAAATACTAACGTTTCCTCGTGAGATCAGGCTGGCTTAACCCAGGTTACTGACAAATTAAAAGTCCTTTAGCATACTTCCGCATATACCTTATTAACATCCATAGTAGAAAAAACAAATACTATGTAGGTCAATGGTTACAGGTTTCAAGCTAGAAATTCACACCAGTTTAAACAAGTGAAGTGTGAGTAAATGAGATTTCAGTTTCTGGTGAACTATCCCAGCAGCCACAGGACATCAACGTGACGTCAGATTGATGTATCCCAGCATCATGGGACATTGCATTTTGGGTGAAAATGAACATCGGGCTGAAGTCAGAACTTTGTACTTTGGTCAATTTCCAACGCAACCTTAAAATAACCAAATATTAACATCTAATGATGTTACAGCTTGACATTGAGTGGACATTACCACTATGACTTCTATCAGATGTTGAATTTTGGTTGCCATATCTAACGAATCAAGATCAGTATTTGACGTCAATATGACGTTGGCTTAAGATGTTGGCTCGATGTTGGATTTTGGTCATCAATGCAACCTAAAATCAACCAAATATCAACGTCTTTATTGAATGTCAAAATAACGTACATTGAATTTTGTTCACCCAACATCACAACCTAAATCTAACCAATTATTGATGTCTTACGACGTTGTGTGCCTGCTGGGATACCATTAAACTTAATAGTAATGATTATTAGTTTGGACAGATATGACTTTCAGACTGTTGTGAAACCAATAATGATTTCAATTATTTCTAGTGTTTAAAGGTATACAGTAATACTGCAGCAAAGCTAACTTGGCTAACCCAAAACAATGTCTTTTTTTTCAAGGCACAATATTTTACCTTCCTCCTGAGTTCTTGTACCATGGGGTATACCACGCCAATCCTGCCACAGTGTGGTCTCTGGGGATTCTGCTGTTCAGAATGGTGAGCGGAAGATATCCGTTCTTCTTCACATTGCTGTGGATCCGGTGGAAAATCTGGCACAAAAGACACCTGTCAAAGGGTAAGATCATCACCTCAAATATAGAGCTATACTGAAGTCATAACACATAGAAGACTTTATATAAACATGGAGACTTTGAATATTAATGTTTATTCTGAAGTTTACTGCTTTCATCAAACGACCCTATCTTTCATTCACAGAACTGCTCCAACTTCTCCATGAGCTCCTCGTGGTAAACCCAGAGAAACGGATGAATCTGAAGGACATCCTTTCCCACAGCTGGTTTACGGTAGTGAACTTAACCGCATCTCAATAATAGTTCATACATACATTGAATGTTTTACCATTATAAATGTTTGTCTAACACATTTAAACATGTATTCATTTGTGTTTTGTTTCAGGAAAGCGAATGACCAATTCAGAAGTAGAGTTTATCTTCAGATTTACATCTTTTGGGCTGAATGAACGACATCTTGCTAAACATTTTCCAATTGTGTGTTTTGTATATACTCTGTGCAATTTATTGTCTTGTAATATGTTGTGTCAATGTTATGCTTGTCCAAGACAAATTTAATAAATGAAAAAAAAAAAACTTCATTGTGTAATAGTGATAGTTATTATCAGATAATGATCAGATAATGAGCATTAAAGTGTGCATAGGGCTCATAAAAATTACCAATATGTCTTTAATTTCTCCCCCTCGTTCTGTTCCAAACCTGTAAGACTTTTGTTCATTTGTGAAACACACATCAATGGATTTCCAAGATAAAATCCGAGAGCTCTCTATATAGACAGAAATGATCAACCCGGGCTCATTGTGGAAACGTAGCTCCGCGGACGTTTCTGCGGACCGCGATTTACGTCCCAGGAGATACGTATTTGAGCGTTTTTTTTTTTGCGGATCAGTGAGAGGCTGCTGTGCGCGCTTTTTCGCGTCTCGGGCGCCTCTCGGGAGCGCGCGCCATTCTCGCGCGAAAAGCCACCGGATCGGCCTTCCTCCTCTTCCTCCTCCTCCTCCTCCTCCTTCCCTAAACCCGAGCGACGGTTCGCAAAAGCCGTCCAGAAAAAAAACAACAAAATAAACAAAAGCCCTCGTCTTCGATTTCGACCGCGTTTTCGGATCCCGCCGCGTTCTCGTCCTTATTTTTTCAGATTCTGTTTTTCGTCTTACCTGATTTCCAGAACCGCTGTTCCCCGGACTCGATCCCGGTCGTCGTCCACCGCGGCCGGCTCCTCCTCCTCCGGGGCCTCCGCTCCGCCGACGCAACGCTGTGAGCTAAGCGGACAAACTGGTTGCATCGGGAAAGCCCTCCACTCGGAGGCGAGCCGTCGGCTGGCGAGCGCGAAGAGGAGGGGCGGAGCGGTGCCACACCGCCCCGCAGCGTTCGCTCAGAAAAAAATAAACGCGGCCTTACGTACCTCCGGCCACATAAATCGCGGTCTCCAGAAACGTCCGGAGGGCTATGTTTCCAGAATGAGCTTGGGTTGGAAATGATCCTGAAAGGTTCAAAACCTAGAAAATTACTAAGAAAAATAATCAAAACAGTCCAGGAAACATTTGTGGATCAACTGTAATTTTCTGAAGCTACAAGAAAACGTTAGTGCGCACAAAAATTGTGTTTATTTCCTCAACAATGATAAATGCTGTCAAAAACAGGTCTGATTTATAACATTTACACTCAGCCATTGTGCTGCCCTTGTTTATATTCCTAATAGATTAAAATAGATTTATTCATATTTCTTTAATCTGTGTTATTTCATTTAAAGGTTGTATTATTAATATTATTATTATTATTACTATTTCTGAAAACAATTTTTTTTTCAATAGAAAAAAGCCAAAAAAAAAAAAAAAACATAAAAAAACAACAATGAATTTATACTGAATCTTAACAAATATTTCTATTAATTTACTGTGCACAATGCAAGCTACAACAGGTCTCTAATATCAGGTTTGTATGTAAATTACAAGGAATTGCTTTATGAGCATCCATAAATGTCTGCACATTCTGAATTCTCTCAAACAAGTCTTATATTGATTGCTATAGATGTGTCTACTTCTTGTTAAACCTTTCTGGTCTCTGAGCTCCCCATTTCACAACATTATTTGCTTGTAGGGCTGATTGTGGAGTTTCCAAATACAGTGGAATAACTGAAAGTTTCACCGCAAATAAACATCAGTGCATGTGACTGCAAAGAGATTCAAAGCAATGAACCCATAAATTAAATCACAGACCAAACAAAACAGTTCTGATTAAGGCGCCCACTGCTGGACAAACATGCTTATTACACTTGATTTATTACAAACTATAAAGAATTCCTTGCTCTTTTAAACATCATTTGGGAAATATTTGAAAAAATTCACCTGAGGGCTGATATTTTTTTACTTTAACTTTATTAATAGCCCAGAGGTAAAGTAACTCAACTCATTACTTTCCCTAAAAAGTACCACATTTAGTTACTTTTTAAAAAGAAGTAACATACATTTGTCCACGTTACATTCTCTGTATTGTAGATGGTCAAAACACAAAGCAGTATGTATGTGTTCTTTTAATGAGTTTTTGTATCGCAGCACAAATGTGGTTCCAATCATTATAAAATACCCATATTACTTCCTGTTTTTGTAAATAAGCTGTTATTGAGCTGAAGCACCACAGGCAAAAGCAATTTCCATAATGACCTCTGAACTGCTGTCTTACATCAGTGATTTAGTTCCTGTCTGTCACTTCATTCTGATCAAGCCTGCTGCGCAGCATGAATTGTGAAATGTTAAGGCGAGGGTGTTTTCTTTTCCAGAGGGTTATGTTCAAACAGTGTCTGATTATATGCAACATTTCATTATACAAAACTGTGATTTTTTTTAAAGCTGCTTGCAGTATTTTCTAAATTATAAAGAGTCAGAGTTTAGGGTCTACTTAAAACATTTCATTGTGTTCCATGCTAGTTGCACGTGATGTGAGGACGTGCAGGTGTTTTCTTAATCTGTTTGCATTGTGAAAAAAATGCAGCAGGTTTTTTATGTGTTTGTGTTGTGAGGATTTGCAACACATACAGTTGAAGTCAGAATTATTAGCCCCCCTGTTTATTTTTTTCCCCAATTTCTGTTTAACAAAGGAAAAAAAAAAACATTTTTAAACATAATAGTTTTAATAACTCATCTCTAATAACTGATTTCTTTTATCTTTGCCATGATGACAGTAAATAATATTTTACTTGATATTTATCAAGACACTATAGTATTCAGCTTGAAATCCAATTTAAAGACTTAATGGGGTAGTTAGGTTAATTAGACAGGTTAGGGTATCTAGGTTATACAATAGCCCCTTTCACACATACAGACCTTTCCGGAAAAATTGCCTGCAATTTTCCGGAAAGCTTGTATGTGTGAACAGGTCCTTTTTGAAAATACCGGTAAATTCGTTCTGGCTATTTTCCGGAAAGAGAAGTTGTAACATTACCGGCAATTTGCCGGAATGCTGCGCTGTGTGAATGCAGAAGGAAGATTGCCGTAATAAGCGCGTGCACGTCTAGAACGTGCTGACGTGAGACGTCTGCTTTAGCCAATTACAACAGTCAGACGCATTTACTTCCGCGCGGTTTGTGAGAATAAAAACCTTTGAATATTTTTCCAGACACATTTAACTGCTAGAAGTTAGTCAGATCACGTTTATATGTTCTTCTTAATGCCAACTGTGTAAATAATCATCGATGAGATGCTTATGATAAGCCGTTGTTTGTTTACCTTCAAGCTTTGCGTGTTCCTGTGAAACAGCCTGTGAGCGCCTGCACACGCACAGATAATGAACATCTCGACATGCGAAAGTGATCCTGCGAAAGTTGTTCACAATATTGATCATCCACAGAGTTTGTAATTTAGTCAAATGTTTACAAATACAAGCACAGCCGTTTAAAGCTCATTTGTGGTTAATGATGTCAGAATTTACCGGTATTTTGGAATGGATGTGTGAATGCTCTTTTCCGGAAAATTTCCGTAACGTCCTCGCCTGTGTGAACAGCGCTTTTTTGAAAATACCGGTAAAGTCGTTCCGGAAATTTTCCAGAAATTTACCGGTATCACTGTGTGAAAGGGGCTAGAGACTTCAAAATGAACAAATTGTGCTAGAACAATCCATCATAACAATTTTTAGAGTGTGAGAGATATTGGTTGGCTTTTATATAATATATCATAATATATCAGCTTGATATCAACCCACCCAACCCATTGCCTAAACCCAACAGATGTTTTCAAAAGCAAACTAGAAGAGAAAAACCATTGCAGCTGTATGTTTTCACCACGGCATCACACTGCCCTTTTTTGAGTTTAGCTTTACCTGGTTTCTGCAATTGTCTTTCACAGGACTTAAACCTCGGTTCGTTCTGCTCCGCCTCTCAAGTTTGTCGCCATTTGCAGTGGGCTACCAAAAATAAACCAGTAACGCTGGAAAAGCCATCTACTCTTTAAACCCTAATTTGTTAAGACTACTTAAATGATTTGAGGAAAGTGATTCCCTCAGTTCGTTTGAGTAATGGGAAATCGACAACTCAATTAATTGAGTTGACCAAACGTGGTCTCTTCATTTAATTAACTTAAATGTTTAATTACAGATAACTTACATGTTTAACGGCTCATTCCCACAAGGCGTCAGCATCAATGCCTTCCATTCACTTTGAAAGGGTGACGTCAGGCATTGCAGAACTGTATTGTGGATGCGTTGGCGCCGCTTCAGTGGCATTGCTCACTGCAGAATTTGGGGATTTCTCAACTTTCTCAAGTGCCATCGGATGCATCAGCCAATCAGATCGCTTTATGCAAATACCCCAGCTCAGACAGTAGCCGATTGCAGACTAACTTTATTGGCTTACGCTGCTATGACGATCGCACCAGCCCCAATTTCAGACACGGTCAAGCGTCGACACTGAAGCCCGTGTGAATGCACGGTAAATAAAGATAACTTAAATGTTTAAGTACAGATAACTTAATAGCTTAAACTTCCAAAGTTTCAGCTTTTATATTATTTACTTTCTCTTAGGGCCGATTACATCGATGTTGATATTTAGCTGCACCACGTTGGTGTTTCGTAACAGCTCATTTTTACGAGGTGGGCATTAGCCCCATGCTCAACCCCTCACCTGGATGACCAGGACACATACACTACACTACTGTGGGGGAAACTGGAGCACCCTGGGGAAACCTACGGGGAGAACATGTAAAGTCCACACAGAAATGCCAACTGACCCAGCTGGGACTTGAATCAGCAACCTTCTTCCTACCCACTGCGCCATTGTGTCACTTCTGTATATTAATAGGAATAATGTATATAAGCATTTAAATATCTACTCACTAATTTAACTTTTTTTTTTGTCAAAAGGGTTCAGGGAGTGCCTCTGTCCTGCTGCGCTTCAGCAAAATTCTGCATCACAAGCAAAATGACCACCTTGTGTCATATAACATATATTGACCAATCAGTGCAGTTGTCAAGGCAGAATTTTAAGTTTCAGAGAACTATATCAATTTAATTAAGTTTTTTGCTGCCTAATGAGTTAGTTAAACACACCTGTTTAAGTTTTGATGTCAAA